CCCCCCCCCCACCATGGATGCCTTCCCCTGCACTTCTGAACCTTCTCAACATAAGCTTTTAGTGCCTAGATCCCTGTAACTGTTTATAAGTCTGCTTCTCTCCCACCAGACCATGACCTATTTGAAGATAAAAACAAAATTTTACATACTGGGTGCCTGGTACATAGTAGGAGCATGACAATTAGGGGCTAAAAAATGAATAGAGACTCAGATTGACAACATCCTGCAGAAATGCTGAAGAATGTGCTAAGATTTGGAGTCAAGGTGGATTTGCCAGAGTAGATAGCATTATAGATGGGCTCTGCCCTCATTTTACGACCCAAAAGTAAGACTTGAAGTAAGGTCTTCTCAGGAGCCCTGAAAGCCAACTAAAATCCGGGGGGCGGGGGGGAATGAGGGGAAGATGTGCCATATGAACTATGACTTTTCAAAAGGTATTTTGGGTTGGAGATGGTGACATTGGGGCAGAGTAGGGAGGCAATGCCTTCTCCTTAGAAAGCATTTTTTTATTCCAGAATGTAAATGGCTAAGCAAGAAAAGGGGTGCTCAGAGTAATCTCTGTCCTCTAGTCCAGAAAGAGAGGCATGGAGGGCATCTCCTGTCCAGTCGGCTAAACAAGTTGGAGGAAGAAACTATAATGCTAGCAGAAATCCTACTCATGGTGAAGGAACGTGTATTTGGCTCATACTCTAAGGAACTTGCTTATGATAAGGAACCAAGACGCAGATGGTTACAGAGGCCACGTATGTGTGATTACTAAGTGAAGCTGGAATGTGTGACAGACAATACGGAGCAAGTATGGAGTAAGGATAATAGAAGAGGGCACATCCTGTATCAAAGACCCCCACAAATTACCACTCACAGCCACTACTCAACTCCAGGTGGTTATTTCTATTCAGGAATGTGGCCCCACATTTGCCAGATCTTTCTAATTTTTATGAGAGGCGGAAATTCAGATTTAGTACACAATCTCCCAGTTTTGAAAAGTAGACAATAATTTAATTATTTTAAATCACACTTGAGCCTACATTGTATGAGCCAAACAATAAATGCCTCAAAGCTGAATCTGGGTCATGGGTTATTAATTTGTAATATGATGATTTGAAAAGAGAAGGAGATAGTCAAGGAGCACTCGGTGGTTCAGAGAGTGAAATTACTCAATATGATCCAGAAGTTCCCCTGCATCTTATTGGTACCTAGCATTGAACATGGCTTTGATCACCCCATGGTTCTGTATACTCAAAATCTACACTTCCATTGATATCTAGAAAGAAGAACATCTAAACATCTTAAAACAGAGAATCAAACCATTTACCATACAGGGAATTTGGTTAAGGGCTGTTTTTCGTTGTCAGTTAATAAATAAGAGTGGACCAACATTAACGTTTGGTGTATTAGGTTGGTGCCTGTGGAAGGGAGACATGTTTTCTGAGCCTCTATAAAAAAAAACCATAAGGATTTTAGAGAAATAAAAATCAAGTGGAAGTACAGTTTTCTAAAAAAAAAAAAAGAAAGAAAGAAAGAAAAAAAGAAAGAAAGAGATGGAACCATGAAGTTTCATTTCAGAGGTGTGGTACCAGAGTTGCCCTGGCCTAGATTTCCACAGGATGCGTTTTCCACCTGGAAATAAATGAACACAAAACGTTGCTGGGTAGTATGTGTGGTTGGCATACCAGAAGTGGATGAATAGGGAAAAGGCACCCAGAGCAGTTAGAGAGATTCTAAGAAGTTATGCAGAGCCAGAGTTGAAAAACAAACCTAACAGATCATATGTAGGTTTAAATCAATATTTTTAGCTCAAAGAATTTTTTAAAAACTGATTTTTATAAGCCTCAGAAGATCACAGCTGCCATGGCTTAAAATCAATTTTAACTCATTTTCCATTCATGTAATATGAGAGGAGGGAGCCAATTTCACTGGTTCACTTGAGAAATAGTTTAAGGGTTTCCATAGTGGAGAAAGAAGTTGGTTTCAGTTCAGACAGATATTTCAAGCTTCAAGGGCTGTGTCTGGACGGAGAAGGATTTGCTCTCCCGGAAGTCCCATCACACACAGGGAGTGTGAACATATTTCAGGGCTTCTCAGGTACTGGAATTCCTGTGGCACTTAGACTAGAAGAGACTACAGTCCCCGCTGCCTCTGGAACCCTTGCTTGTGATTTCAGCCTTCCAGACAGACCGAGGACCCTGTCATCAGCATGTTTAAAAGGAAATCCTTCAAGGGGAGAAGACTGAATCAGTGAGGACTGGCTGGCCGGTGTGTGTGTGTGTGTGTGTGTGTGTGTGTGTGTGTGTGTGTGTGTGTGTGAGGGAGGCGGGGGGAGGGAGGGAGAGAGAGAGCATGTGTGCTCATTAGGGGACGCTCTATGATTCGACAGCCTCATTGTTGCTGCCGCTGCTCCTGCTGCGGCTGTGTGGTCTGTCAGCAGTTGGAAAGAACTGCAAGGGTTTAGAGGAACTGCAGGTCTGAAGACTGAGCGCTGCTAAATGGTATCCCCGTCAACAAAGTAGACGAGACCTCCTGCAGGGTTGGAAACTTGGACTTATTACTGCTTCATCCACCTGGAGAAAGCAGGCAGCGCCACAGAGGAAAAGGTAAGAGAAGAAATTGGCCTCTACTGGGAAGGCAGGGCAGGGGGCATGGGGAAATGGAGGCTCAAAGACTCGCTATTTTGTAGCCAAGCCATCCCACCCTCAGAGAGCAAAGGAGGCAAACGCTAAAATCCTACCAAGCTTCATCATTGAGCCTTTTCCCCCTGGTACATTTTTCTTCTTCACACTTTTCCCAAGCATCTAAGAGGTCTCTTTGTATTTCTTTTTCAGCGAGAGCAGATATCATTCAGTTTTTCCTTCTGGGCAGTCTTTCAAAATAGGGAGCTTTCTCTGTTTCTCTTATGAGCTTTTTCTCCATTAAGAGGAAACAGGTGCCTCTTATTAAGCTGGTCAAAAACAGTTGCTCCTTCCTACACGAGGGTTGCCTTAAAGGGAGTTTTCAGAAGTACATGTAAGCCCTGTTACTGTAGAAACACAAGAGGTGAAAGTAGCAGAAGAGAGAGCTACTGTCAGTGACTGGCCCCATTTGAAATGGTGATGAATTTGGACTATAACTCTTCACAGGGGGAGAGAACCACTGAGATAAAGGCAGAACACCAGGAAGAGGATGTTTTGAGAAGTGTTTCAGAGAAACTTCAAGTCACTAAAGATGGAAAACGAGACAGTAAGTGAACTGAACCAAACACAGCTTCAACCCAGAGCAGTGGTGGCCCTAGAATACCAAGTGGTCACCATCTTCCTTGTGCTCGTTATTTGTGGTTTGGGCATCGTGGGCAACATCATGGTGGTCCTGGTGGTCATGAGAACCAAGCACATGAGGACCCCCACAAACTGCTACCTGGTGAGTCTGGCAGTAGCTGATCTCATGGTCCTGGTGGCTGCTGGCCTCCCCAACATAACAGACAGTATCTATGGGTCCTGGGTCTACGGCTATGTGGGATGCCTCTGCATCACTTACCTCCAGTACTTGGGCATTAATGCCTCCTCTTGTTCCATCACAGCCTTTACCATTGAGAGGTACATAGCAATCTGTCACCCCATCAAAGCCCAGTTTCTCTGCACATTTTCCAGAGCCAAAAAGATCATCATCTTTGTCTGGGCTTTCACATCGATTTACTGTATGCTCTGGTTCTTCTTGCTGGATCTCAATATTAGCACCTACAAAGATGCTATTGTGGTGTCCTGTGGCTACAAGATCTCCAGGAATTACTACTCACCTATTTACCTAATGGACTTTGGTGTCTTTTATGTTGTGCCGATGATACTGGCCACCGTCCTCTATGGATTCATAGCTAGGATCCTCTTCTTAAATCCCATTCCTTCAGATCCTAAAGAAAACTCTAAGACATGGAAAAATGACTCAACCCACCAGAACAAGAATATGAATTCAAAGACCTCTAATAGATGTTTCAACAGCACAGTATCTTCAAGGAAGCAGGTAAGCAAACCAAAGCCTCCAAGTCCACAGAAGAAATGTGGGATAGAGTCCCTTGCAGGATGGGGTCCACTTTGCCTTACTTAGCTGATGGCAAAATGAAAATACAGTCATGCAAATGTTTCACAGTTTAAGCTTCTGCTTTACATATTAAATCCATCTCTAAAGCAAGTAAAGACCTAAAAATAGGTGGGGAAAATGTGATAGCATATCAGCAGGTATCAGTTTAGGTGCTGTTAAGATAGAGGGAAATATAAACAGAAACTCTAGAAATCCACCTTTAAAATGTTAGTGACTCTCTGGGAAATGTTATCAAACTACACCATTTGTGGCTTCTGGATATCTTTAGAAGTTCTATTACATGACAAAGATTTGATAAGGTAGTTTGAGAAAAGACGAGTCAAAGCAATAATTCTACAGTTGTTCACTGAGATATATAAATGAGAGGGGTTCAGTTCCTGGACTTCCTAGTTTTAGTGGGGAAAGTTTCTATCACCCTCTCCCCCAGCTCCCTGCAAAGTATCCCAGCATGCAGAAGCTGAAAAAGCACTTTGCTCAGGAAATGTTCTGATAAAAAGGCTAACTCCAAGCTCAATTTGTTTGTCACAAAGAATGATTTATTTTTTTAAATGTCTGTTTTTCCTGGTAGGCATAACTAAAAATCCCTTTATGCTTTCAGATCACCAAATGTGGATGTGGTTACGGTTGAATAGTGGTTTTACTAGTGAATGGAGTGCAACTTTGTTACAGTAGAAAAGGCTTATAAGACAATATAGGAATGAAATACTTTTATACCACATACACGTTCAGCTCTATTTACATATGAACTTAGCCTTCAGTTCCTTTCCCTTCTCTGCTAAACACAATAAACACATGGTAAACATTTATTCTCATGGCTGAAAAAGAAAACTTGAAATTAACAGTACTGGCTCTCTCTCTCTCTTTCCCTGTATGAAATGCAGTTCTTCCTGTGTGCATAGATAGAACTTGAGGAAGCATGCTTTAAAAAGTATGCATATAGATTATACATGCTATTACTTCCTAAACTCTAGGTTAGTTGAGATATGAAGAATTTTAATTGGACATATGGGCACACACTGAAGTGAGCTACTAATAATTACAGGTGTTGTAGATATGCATGGCATACATAAGAAACTGTAATTTAAAAGGAGTATCATTTTAAATGATACTGTGAGATTTGATTTATAGAACATTTATTATTGAAGATACCTCGATACTAGACAGAGAAGATGTGGGAAGTGCCAGCTCTTAGATCCCTATTGCTTTGGGTCCAGCAGTGCTAGCTAATACAGGGCATGTTTGGCCATCCATTACCCAAAACTTGATTAAGGAAAATTTAGAGAGATCTGTTGTCCATCTGCCAAGACAAACATTAACAAATACATTAAGAAAGTAAAGAATATGTACATCTCAATTAGAGATCAAACGTGGTTTAATATCTGCAGCAAAGGGGGTCTAAGTTCATTAGACTCCAATTTATATTCTTGTTATAAATTCTAAAAAAAATGTTTGCACTAATGTCCTTCTTTTCAATTATAGTCACTAGTACCTATTTTAAATTGTTAATTATGTTACATGTTCACACTCTTATTTCAAAGCTGTTACAGATAGTCTCTTTGTACAGGCTGGGGGTAGGAGACAAAGTTGAAGATTTGGTCCCAAACAATCCCGGGCTTAAATGCCAGGGCCCTAATCAAACAGGATGACATTGAATAAGCAGAACACTGTGAACCTCAGTCTCCTCATTTATAAAATAAAGATAAATAGCATCCAGGCTTGGTATGAGGGTTCAACGAAACATCGTATGAAATGGAACAGTGATTAACACCTGACTGTCAATTAGCCTCCTTCCTAGTTTTGTAATCTGTGGGCAACTGTAAGAGAAATAAAGATTTGTTCTTTAAAATACTATATACAGTCACCATTTAAACAGCTTAGTTGTTGAACAGATGTGTATATGATATAGTACCCTCTCTAAGGAACTTTTGAATAATGAAGGCATTTGGGAATGTATTCGGAGCATTTGGGTTTGTCACAATAACATCACTGTCTGATAGCATTCAAGAGTGACAGGCACCAAATGTCCTGACATGGTCAAGACAGGCCTGCGCGTTGAAGAAGTGCCCTGTCACAAATGCCAATAACGCCCTCATTGAGAAACACAGGATGGCATATAAATCAATAGAAGTGCATTTAGGTAATATGTCATGAAATTCAGTCTTGATTACAGATGCGATAGCAATTCAGAGAAAAGAAAGGAAATTATGGGGCTAAAGGGATCAGAGAAGGCTTCCTGGAAGAGGTGGCATTTGAAAAGGCTCTGAAAGAATGGAGCTCCTTTGCAAAGTAAAAGTTAAGAGGACAGCACTCCACACAGGAAAGGACCTGGCGGGGGTGAGAATGCTATGGGTTTTGAAAGGTGACAAGGAAGGGCACACGGAGTGGGATTTTTATGGTATTAAGTGATTTGGTTGATTAAAATGAGTGATGTATTTGGGGGAGCAGTAAAAAGAAAGATTGTATTAATGTGTGTGTGGGGGAGGGGTTAAGAGACAGAGAAGGGGCTGTGGAGGATCCCAACTATCAGGCAGAGAAGGGAGTTGTGGGTGGTGAGCAGAAAGCAGCAGTCCGCAGCATGATTCAGGGGGGTGATCAATGTGTGGATGAAACAGGAGACCATTGGCAGAAAGACCACTTTGGAAATGGGTGGTAGTGGTTCAGGCATGAGGTAGTAAGATTCTCTATCAGGAGAACTTAAAGTAAGGTGTGAACCAGAGATATGTTTCAAAGAAAGAAAGGGTGAAGTGTGAACATAGAGGACACACTGGCTGGAGACAACACAGCGTCAGGGCTCTGAGCCTAGAAGACGCAAGTTGCCCTGATCGATGGGTGGGAGTGAGAGCCATGCAGGGGGGCCCATTTTGTCCAAAATCAATGTACCTTTCGTCTGGCCTTTTTCTCTTCTAAAATTGTTCTTTTCTTAAATCTTCGAAAGGTTGAAACCTCCACCTACTATGACTAGGGTCTTTTATTTCCATATTTTCTCTGCATTTTTTTTCTTTCCGGCAAGTTTAATTTACATTTTAATAAATACTCTGTCTGGGCCAGGTCTTTCAAACCAAGTTATTAAAGTCAAATATGCATAGCCTAAGAGATCTCCATTTAAAAAGTAAATAAATGAGCATTTATATGTAAGGGACAAACGTGCATTTTCGTTTGTCTTCAACTTTTATCCCCCATGCAGAAAATCCAGATCATATCTTCCCCCCACCCTTTATTTAGAGATTCAAATATATTTTAGGAAACCGACTAAATATTTGGTAAATTCAATGAAATAAATTCAATGAATTTCAATGAAATTCAATGAAATAAATTACTCAAAATCAAGGCTTGGGCCTGTGTAGAAAAAATATTTTTCTGATTGACTAAATCTTTTGCTTTATAATTGGGTGTTTTGATATTGAGGAGATAAGGTTTAAATGGTCCCATTTGTCACATTTCAGCTCTCTTCACTCAGTGCCAATTCCCATGTGGAGCATTGTGTAGATAAAATATCTCTGTTACTGGCTGTATATTTCAAAAGAATTGATTGGATCCTTCGGTACTTTGGAGGCACAGAAACATCTTGGTAATGGACTGTACTACGGATACACATATTCAGTACAAGCATTTACTTTCCATAGAATGCAGGGGTGCTCAGAACATTGTGTGGATCAGAGTACCAGTTTTCTTTTGCATTCAGTGACTCTAATTAGTTTCTCTTTTCTCTGGTGGGAAAACTGTGGAACAGAGTCCAGATAGATGCTCTGAGTTTATGGCAAATTTTCCATTATGGGTTTTATTTGACTAAAGAAGCCTTTAAAATACCAGTCTCTGTTTCCATACATTTCTTACCAGCCTTCTACCTTACCAGAGGAACATTGCTAGCCCAAGAAACAAAGCTGTCCTTTTTAAAAAATTTTTTTAACATTTATTTATGTATTGAGAGACAGAGACAGAGCATGAGCAGGGGAGGGGCAGAGAGAGAGGGAGACACAGAATCTGAACCAGGCTCCAGGCTCTGAGCTGTCAGCACAGAGCCCGGCGCGGGGCTCGAACTCATGAAACACGAGATCATGACCTGAGCCTAAGTTGGATGCTTAACTGATTGAACCACCAAGGTGCCCCACAGCTTTCCTTTTTAAAGTGATACATGCCTTTTGTTGTTGTTGCTACTGTTATTGCTGCTGATGATATAAAAGCAATCATGCATATTATGGAAAACACGGAAAACTAGGATTAAGAAAAAGGCATCTCTTACTCCACCTCCCCAAACCACAGTTTGTTAGCACGTGCTTATATTCTTTTCCTTATGTTTTCACTTGATCTTTTGTATATAAATACAGAAATACATATATACACATAAAATTTTATACTCTGCCTTTACATAAAATGTTGAAATTAATATTCTCAAGGAGAATAGCAGACTAAAAGAAAATGGGTAAGACTGAGTCAGTTTCTCCTAGTCTTGATTTTTTTTTAATCAATAAAAGGGGAATAGCAATTACTCACAGACTCCTTGTCCAAATCCAATGAGATGCATGTGACAAAATTCATCTTAGCTCCTTCCACCTGTCCCCTCCCCTACCCTTCCCTCCTGTCTGTCCTTTCTCACTGATCTCCAGCCCCTTGGCACACTCCAGTAGTGAGATGGGCTCCCGGAAAATGCAAAACTGAGATAAAGAAAGGGCTTAAATGTGTCTTTTCTCTTCTCCTCATTCCTGCCTCCGATTCCTGGCTCCAGTGCTCTTTACTTTTTTTAAAAGGTGTTTTGGTTTTTTTTTTAAGTTTATTCACTTTTGAGAGAGACAGAGACAGTGTGAGCAGGGGAGGGGCAGACAGAAAGGGAGAGAGAGAATCCCAAGCAGGCTCCACATCATCAGCACAGAGCTCGAACTCACAGAATCATGAAATCATGACCTGAGCCGAAACCGAGAGTCAGG